TCAACATAGATGGACAAAACATCACCAGATGCAAAGTATAGTTTATTCTCTGTAGCCATTAGAACTGTCTTAAAAATATAGCATACTTTGACATTAAGAATATCTTAAATATGAAAGAATTAAAATAATTTTGCTTTATCAGACTAGAAATCAAATATAACCACAAAATAAGAAACCACATAAAAACAATTGAGACTAAACAATAAACTCTTGAATAAAAAGTGTGTGATAGAAAATTTAGCAGGAAAAAATTTCAATTTGTAAAATCAAATAAATGCAAATACAACAAAGGCAATTTGTTTTCTTAGCTTTCTATTTTATCAATTTTTATTGAGCTCCACCTTTTCCTCTATTCCCCTCTCTGACTCTCCCTTCCCCTTCCACCCTCTCCCAGTGTCCCATTCTCCCAATTTACTCAGGAGATCTTTTCTTCTGCTACTTCCCATGTAGATTAGATCTATGTATGTCTCTCTTAGGGTCCTCATTGTTGTCCAAGTTCTCAGGGATTGTGATTTGTGGGCTGATTTTCTTTACTTTATATTTAAAAATCATTTAAGAGTGAGTACGTGTGATAATTGTCTTTTTGTGTCTGGGTTACCTCACTCAAAATGAAGTTTTCTAACTCCATGTGGCGCAATTTGTTAGCCCGTGATACTTATATGACAGTGTAGGCAGAACTTTCATTTTTAATTGAAAATATTTTTTCATAGAATATATTCGGATCAGGTTCCCTCCTCCTTTGTATATTCCCAGATACTCCTCACCTCCTTCCAAATCTATGATTTCTTTTTCTTTCTCTTTAGAAAGAAATCAGGCAAGTGAAAAACAAACAAAACAGAATAAACAAGGCAGGCGAGGGGAGGAGATAACAGGAGGGAATGGAAACTGTATCATTATGTAAAATAAATAAAATCAAATAGAATAAATTTAAAAATATAAAAAGAGGGCTGGAGAGATGGCTCAGAGGTTAAGAGCACTGACTGTTCTTCCAGAGGTTCTGAGTTCAATTCCCAGCAACCACATGGTGGCACACAACTATCTGTAATGAGATCTGGTGTCCTCTTCTGGCCTGCATGAACACATGCAATAATACATAATTAATAAATAATTCTAAAAAGATATAAAAAGAAAACGCACTAGAAATATATATATATATGCAAAAACATTTGTTCAGATGTAAAATTCCTACAAACACAAAATCAGAAGCCATAATATTTAAGTAAAAGGTCATTAGCATTTACAAATGTACAGCTAAAACATTATGAGTCGAAAGTATCCAAAATACCACTGAGCTCATTGCTGGTTATCTGATGCTGGCATGCAGCCTGCCCTTAAGTCTGGTTTTTATACCCAGTGAGATCCCTAGGAGAAAGCCAGTTCTTCTCGTGCTGGCACCTGATGCTTGGAGATGGCTTCTGGAACAAGGACGGGGGCTCTGCCTGTTAGATCCAAAGTGTCCCATCCCTCACAACAGGAGTGCTGGTGACAATATCCTGAACAGAAGGACCCTGGGCCAGGTAGAAGAATTCTTACTGGATGACCAGAAGTCAAATCCCGTTTTCCTTGGGAATCTAATAAAGCACATTTCTGTTTACCATAAACCTCATTCCTTCTGCCCCAAAAAGATGAGCAGCATCAAGTAAGGGCATCTAATTGTTGGCCAGTCCACACCCACACGCAGTTTATTTCCTTCCTGCTACACAAGGATGCTTTTTCTGCTGGCCCTGGCATTTGTAGACTGCAGAGATGACTACACTCTGGATCAGACTCCTCAGAGCTTAACAGGGCAACAATTTTCTGCCATCGACAATGGTTCATGCAGTGCATCACAGCCGATCAAAGTTCAGAGAAGAAGTATCCATATGTTATATCCAACAATGAGACATCTGTGTCACACTCCTCTCAAGACTCAAGGACCATTGCAGAGGGGGTTGTGATAAGATTGTCACAATCAGAGGTCAGGCAAGGACAAAGAAAAACATTGTCAACAGGCTCCTTCAAAAAAAATCACAGTAGATATGGTTGTCTTCAAGCTGAGCTGATGTAGACAGTTTTGACTTCAGGTTTTCTGCATGGCTGTGGCCACTCCAGGCTGCCTTGCTCCAGAGGATGTCTCCACACTCAGGAGTCTATGAGCAGAACAGGCTTTCATGTTAGAAAACAAAACAAATAAGAGAATTTGACTTTGGAAAAAGACATAAAAGAATGTCTTGTAGGTCTTAGTATGATGAAAATGGGTAAATATCATCAAAGTACAAGACATACACATGAGAAAATTAATGAATGAATAAATATTTTGTTACAACATTGAAAATAGATCACATGGAAAAATAGTTTACCATGGTGTTTATTATGACTTCATGGATGCTAAGATGTTTGAGCAATTACTGAAATGTTTCATTTACTGAAACATTAAATGAAATAGAGTGTTTGGATAGACTTAGACAAGATTGTGAAAATCTTCTCCACTGGTGGCAAAATGACACACCGAAATCAAACATCATTCATGATTAAAGCCCTGAGGAACCCGGGTGTTGGTGGTGCACACCTTTAATCCCAGCACTCGGGAGGCAGGGACAAGTGGGTCTCCATGATTTCAAAGCCAGCCTGGTCTACAAAGTAAGTTCCAGAACAGATTCCAAAGCTACATAGAAACCCTGTCTTGGAGGAAAAAAAGTCCTGAGGAAATTAGAAATAGAAAAGATACCTCAGTCATTTCCTGGGTGAGATAAATGTCAAATGACTTCCTTTATAACGTGTACTAAGATAAGAGTATAAACTTCCTCCACTCTCAAAGTCTCAGTTAGAGGTCTCGTAGAGAAAGACAGAAGATAAATTGTCTTTGTTTGCAGACTATAGTATGTAAAATGCCCTAATTTTTAACTGAAAAAAATTTCCATACAATGTTCAACAAAGTGGTATTGTACAAAACCATATTCCAAGTTCAGTGACATCTCTGTAAGCCAACACTGAAAGTTTTAACAGAGAAACTGGGATAAGCCACATTTATGGAATCATAAAAAGAAAATAAAGAAAACCTTGGAATAAATAGGAGCAAGGAGGTGTAAGAGTTCTTCAATGAAACCTTCATAAAACAAAAGAAAATGTGGTGTTCATAGTCAATGAAATTGTATTGAGTCCTAAAAAAAAAAAGATAAGTGACTTGAAGTTGAATATATGAGCACAGCCATAGCATTAAATTAGACTTGTCAGACATGAAAGGAAAAACCTTGCACATTTTCTATCACTTATGGAGTTTATATTGAAATACCTGTGCATATGTAGAAATGTGTAATATGCATTAAACTTTTCTAAATTGATATTTTCTATCAATTCAATGGTGCTCTCAATAACATATTATTAATTTTATTGAAATTATGTTCAGCTGCAATTTTATTTGTATGTTCTAGGAGGGCTATTCTTTTTTATAAATTGCTCAAATATTAAATGACAAGTTCTCACAATATTCTAAGTGTGTGTGTACATCATTACTCTTTATGGCATATAACTCTAAATGATATTGGAAGAGAGCAATTCAACTTTTCATTTAAATTAATGAATTTCATTGTGTTTAAATTATGTATAACACTGTGATTTAAATGTTTTAGGACATTTTTAAATATTATTACACATGAATATATAAGCTTAAACAGAAGGTTGAAGGATGAATGACTGCCTTTGGGTGCCACTAAAGTATGATGTGACTCTGGGAAATGACAACAAAGCCTGTTTCCTGCTAAGGACGGGGGCAGAGTTAGAGACCTGAAGGTGTCCACAGTTCAATGAAATCATTTTATTAGTGACTTGATTTGAAAACAAGTAACAGAAAATGGAGCAGGAACAGGCAAAGGTTGCCAAACAATTCACTCTTGAGTGCTGATCTCAACGTCAAGATTTCAGCAGCCACCAGCAGAAGAGAAGGAGGGAGGGAAACCCTTGCGGTGGTCAGCTGTGCAGAAGTTCCCACATTCTAGCAACTCAGGTACAGTAGTAAAATAAAGGGATGGAAACGATGCTAATTTTTACAGTTCTAGTTAAAATTTTGTCTAAAACCAGTACTAATAGCTAATTTTGAAGAAAAGTGGCCGATGTCTTGATTGTCCTCCTTTCTTCAGAGGGTTGTTCTTTGTCCTTCTAGTGAGTGTCTCATCGTGAACATTCTCCTTCAAGTCCATCAACACTGGATTTGTCCCCAAGTTTTATAATTGTGAAGAATGACTGCCATTTTTAAGTTATCAACAAGACCATCTCCCCCCCAAAAGCGTCGTAGTTCTTACAGATACAGTTGAACAGCTGGTACAAAGGCATAGATGCACTGACGTGTCTAAAAGGGAGCAAGAACTCAGTGTCACTCTTTGCTAGCAGGAAAAGATGGCTATTGTTTGGAGGGCTGCTTTCTGGTTCCTAGCTGCTTAGCCCAGAGACAATCACACAGAAACCATATTATTTAAATCACTGCTTGGCCCAGTAGCTCTAGCTTCTTATTGGTTAACTCTTACATATTAATTTAACCCATCTCCATTCATCTGTGTATTGCCACGCAGCTGTGGCTTACCGGCTAAAGTTCCGGCATTTGTCTCTGGCAAGGTTACGAGACTTCTCTCTGACTCTGCCCTTCTTTCTCCGGGAGTTCAGTATAGTTTTCCCGGCCTAGCTAAGTTCTGCGCTGCTACTGATCCAAAGCAGTTTCTTTATTCATTAATGGTAATCACAGCGTACAGAGGGAAAGCCTACATCGGATGACTAAGACGTGGGATGAGGACAATGCTGAGAAATGAACAAGAGTCTCGTCAGGACTGGTGGCCAAGGCTTTTTATTTGTAACAAAGAGGCGAAGGGGCACTGTCATCTGGTGAGTGGAATACAGAACCTTTCAGAGGAGATGTCAGAATCTCGGAGCAAAGCCCAAGGAGAGAAACCAGAGGAAAGGGAAGCAGGTCTGGACGAGTCTGCTGAGCATGGCTTCCTCCTATGACACTTGATGAAGTCTTCCTCACCACTTTAGCAGCAGCCCCCAGACTGCTGGCTACTGCCACAGCTGCTGCCACCACTGCTGCCACAGCAGCCACTGCTGCCACCACTGCTACAGCATCCAGAGTTTTGGTGTCTGTGACGGAGAGATCTGCGGGGCCTGTGGTGGCTCAGGCAGCAGCCGCCACCGCCAGAGCTGCAGCAGCCCCCGGAGCTTGAACCACAGCAGCCCCCAGAACTGGAGCCACAGCAGCCCCCAGAACCCAGACTGCAGCAGGAAGAGACAGGAGGGCACTTAGGGGGACACTTAGGAGGACACTTTGGGGGACACTTTGGTGTCTGGCACTTGGGAGGGCACTTGGGGGCACACTTGGGAGGGGGCTGGCACTGCTGCTGGCTCTGCTGGCAGGACATCTCGGTCTGTGGGTGTTCAGGAGCTGCAGGAGAATCACACACATGTCAGACACCAGATACTGTGGACACCCAAACTATTCTGGCCACATAGAAATTTCACTGTTCAGCATCAAATAACTTCTACAGTTATTTTACTTTGCTTATAAAATATTCAATCTGTCACATTGTGTTCATTATGAATTCAGAACCTCAGACAACCATGCAAGTGAAATACTAATTGTCAAGTTGTATCCAGCATGCTAAATGAACAACTAAGGACATGGCAAAACGTCTGCCTTTCTTAGTCCTCCTGGATGTGCCAGTACACTGGTTATTTCTCCGAACAGTGACTGCAAACAGAAAGAGCAGTCGGGACTCAACAATGATTGTAGTTTAAGGTCAATAATCAATGTACCTTCTATGTCACTGAGGGAGTAAGCTCAGCCCCTGAAAGAGAAAACTGCAAAACCTCTCAGAGATACATGGGAGTACAAATCCCTGTTTTGAGATCAAAGTTCAGAAGTATCCAAATCATCCCTTTCTTAGGCTAAGGGAGGCAAGGTGTCATCCTGCTGTGAGCAGATCCCAGAACCAGGGCTCTCTTTCTTCCCCAAGTAAAAGTGAGACCCTGTTGTCCTTTTCTGACTCCAGCTCTTCTTCAGGAGTTAGGGGAAGCATTTTCTTCACAGGCCATCTCCCCTCTGAGCCTGTTCAGATGCACAGTTCTCTGTGCTTAGTGTCCAATCCTGATGGTTCCTATACACTGAAGATACTTTGTTCTCTCCAGAGCCAGAAGCCCCCAACTGTTTCTCATTTCTCTCAACATCAAGGCTGTGGCTTCTGTGTGTCCATATCCCTATTGCCTCACCCCTCACCCTTCACCATGTTTTATGATCTATCAATATGGCCTCTCAGTGGGGAGACCCTTCTGAGGCTCCTCTCCAGGTCTAGTCTGGTAATCCCTCTGGAAAAGTCTCTGCTCTTGTCTCCCATGGTCACTTACCAAGATGACAGGCAGCTCACAATCTGTGGGTATCTCAGGAGGTGAGTGATGGAAGTGCCCTGTCCCTCAGCCCTTTTATTCTGATCCTGGGCTCTGCCTTAGCGCATCAGTGTCTGAACATGGGATGCTCTGCCTCTTACCCCTACATGGTCATGTGACTGGTGATGACTAGATGTTTCTCATCAGCCTTACTCATATGTAAATTTATAGTTCTAGTTGCTGCCTCTTTCTTAGGCCACGGCTAATGAATAAAGGGAGGAAGTGGATTCTTGGATCCTTAAACTTGGCAGACCAGCAGAGTATCTGCCTTAGTAACCAGTCATTTCTCCATCTTCTTCCATTTCCCGCTGGTTCTTAATGTGATATTTACAGCCTGTAGCCCAAGTGTGTGTGTGTGTGTGTGTGTGTGTGTGTGTGTGTGTGTGTGATATGTATTTATAATGTATATATGTATGTATATATTGTTGTGTTCAAAGTCCAAACCCCCAAAAGACCACCACCAAGAGACCTGATTTGATGCAAAAGCAAAGACTCTTTAATGCAAGCTAACTTGGGTCTCTCCATCAGTCTGAAGCGGCAGCAACAGAGCAGGAGAGACCTCACACAGCACAGGACATGGGCTTTTATAGTGGCTAGGCAGGAGGGGTTTGGGGGGACTCCAAAACCTTGCACAGTTACAGATTTGGGATTGGCTCAAACCCTTGTTAGGACTATTTGGACTTAGTTGATTGACTATCTTGGGTCGGGGGAACTGCAACTTTTTAGGCTCAGCATGAGAGTTGTTAGTTTCTGATTGGCTTCTCTCTGTGGAGGATTGTTTATGGTTCTTTCTATAACTAGGGCTAAGGTCAGGGGCAGTCAGGGGCATTGAATCCAGCTCAGGTCTTTGCGCTATGGCTGCAGTTCTGCTGAGGCCTGGGTTTCTTACATGTAACAACAATTACTGAAAAAAGAAGTCATAGATTTGAATGAGAGTTGCATTGGGTTACATAGGAGGCTTTTGATGGAGGAAAGAGAAGGGGAAAATGATGTAATTATATATATTCTCAAAAATAAAGAAATAATACAAAGGAATCAGTCCTTAGTAATTCACAAGAATGTGTCTGTGTTGTTATTAGACCTCTGTGTTCTTTCTCTATCTCTTGATTTTCATTGGTTTTCTCCATGTGCACAGGTTGCACATGAAGCAACTGTGAACTTGTACTTTTGTTGACATTTAATGGAAATAGTCTGTGTTCATTATAGAATGTCATGGTTATAGAAAATCATATCTTAACATTACTCAAAAAGAAAAAAAAATCAATGAAGTGTAGACGAAGGGAATTTAGTTCAGACTTGGTAATGAAGAAAATCTCTTCTCCGTGAATGCTGGTTGACTCTGGAATTGCCAAAATCTTAAGAACAAAATGAAGTTGGGTAACCTGAGAAGGATGAGCTCGAGTGAAATGCGTTAGAGATTCATGGATATTTCTAAACATGTGTAGAGAGTCTACATAGAGAGATGCATACCTCTCTATCTTCAACCATCTGTCTATTTATCATCTTTCTGTCTATTGCCTTTCTTTTCTAAATGCATCTACTCTTTACACATATCCAAAATCCTATATCAAAATATGGCACCCAAATCTCCTTTGTCTAGTAGCGGTTCTATTGCAACATCAGACCCAATTTAAAAAAAAATCTTAACAGTCCTAACTAATACTAAGTTGCTGACAAAGAGTTGTTGAGGACTGCATCCCACATATCAGGAGGAAAGCCCTTACAACAGATAGCCTTTTTCCACCTGCTCTCAACACCGTTCTTAGGTCAATGATGCTATTTTTGATACTTTGGTTATGGTTTTCCCTTAAACATATGCCACACCCTTTAACTGCCAGGGTAATGCAGCTGGGCTCCACTTTTGATCTTTTAATTCATCCTATTTAATGCAGTTATCATTCATTCACTGGCAGCATTTGTTAAGGTTGTGCTTTTCTTATCTTCAGTAGCTGAACATGGTACTTTGTATACAGTAGTGGTTTTATGCTGTCACAGCCTCACACTAGCGTCATCATTGATGTCTCAATGTATAAAGAGCTATTCCTTATGAGTCAGGTCACTTCCTAGGTGACCTACTGAACAGACTGAGGCATGTGTTTCCAAATGACGGTGACAGGCCTGCCGGTGTCACACTTGGACAGATGTTTGCTCTCCATTCAGGTTGTTCCAAAGTCATTAGTAACAGGGAGAGACCAGGAATTGGTTCCTGGCTTCCATAATGACAGCTCTTTTCGGCTGGGCTCTTGACTTCTAAGGTGACTTCCATGAGATGTATCTGGTCCAAACTTGTGTCTCTGTACATGACAACACCCAGGTCCTCACCTCAGCTGACACGCATGGGTATAGGTATGTAATGTGTGAGTAGCATGCTTGCTGAAAGAAGACTAGGGCCCTGTGGATGTAGGCTTCAAGTAATATTAACATCTTGACTAAGTAGCAGTTGTCACACTCAGGGTTTTCAGCTATCAAGGTGTTTCCTAAAAGGAAAACAAAGGCAAATTGTCTCTGTCACATTGAAGATAGGTGAACAATGACAGTTCTAAGCAAGAAGCAATTCAAATGAAAAATGTTCTTCTTTCAAGTAAATACAAAAGAGATTTTTATTGTTTTGTTTTGCTAAACTATTTAACAATTACAAATTATGAAACAATGCTCTTGCAAGTGAATTCAGGGTTTTTTTTTAGCTCTCTTTTTGTATATTTCCCTTCTATTAGATGTGTAGTTGCTAAAAAAGTATCTTTTCCCATTCTGTAGCCTGCCACCTCATTGAAGTGATGGTGTCATTTGCCCTGCAGAAGCTATTCAGTTTCGTGAAGACCCGGCGGTTGCTGTGTTAACAACCCACCAGCTCTCCTTCTTTCTAAGCATCGGAGAGTTCTCCTGTGCCACAACTGTGACACCTGCTGGCCAATTAAGATTGTTACACCAACAGCAATTTTCTGAAAATTATAACAGAGGTAAGTTAGTTTGATAAACAAATAAATTTTAGTTTGTAAACCAACCACAAGATAATTTCAGATAGTATCATCATACAGAAATTTAGCAACCTGTTTGTTTATACCATGGTTGAAATTCTGCAAGAGCTATACGACCTACATGGTACAAATATTTTTGTGGTTATGGTAGCTGTTAGTTTTGTTCTTCATATTATATCCTTAAAGAAATGGTTTGATAAGAGAGTCAAGAATGAGAAACTTTTAGGAATGGTACAGTCTTTAGTTGAACAGATTCATACTATTGAAAATGATAACCTTAATTTGACAGGTAAAATTCAATCCAGGTCAATGGGTTATAAAACTTTACAAAATGGTACTGAGTTTTCTGAAAGGATTCAAACTGTTGAAACTAACAATCAAAATCTATAAAAAAAAAGTAATGATAAACTATAGATAAAACATCCCTCCAGGAAAGCAATCTACAAGCCATCCAAATTATATCTAAGGATGAGAAGATATCATTAATGGAAAAATTTAAAATCTTGGAATCACATGTGCAGAATGAGAACCAAAAATTAATTGATTTGATAAAATCATTAGAAATATTCACAGGTCAAGAGATTCAGGCTTTACAAAAGACAGTGTTAAAAAGATCCCAATCAATCGAGAAACTTGTCAGAACTGATAAGCAAGGAGAGAAGGTACAGGCAAAGAACTTAGCGTTGCTAGTACCTCTCAGGGTCAGAGATGACGGACCAAGTGTTTTAGATACTTATCCTGTTATTACCTCTGAAAAGTCAGCAAATATTTAATACCCAAATGGATATACAGAATGTAAATGGAAACCTATAAGGTATGAAATATCTAAAAGATATTAAGCCAGCAATAGTATTTTATCACATGCATTCACTGTCAGGGAATTGATAAAGACATGGGCTTCAAGCAATAGGATCACACCACATGATTGGCTTCAATTAGTCTCAACAGTGCTAGAAGATGGGCCACAGTTACAGTGGAAGTGATATCGGAGAGAGGAGGCTAAA